ATGGCATACTACCCTAGAACAAGCTTATTCAATCATCGGTGACTGTTCTGCATAAATATTTGCACAATGTAGATTTGGGCCAAACTGAATCCAGGCGGCAACGAGAACTCAACTTTTTTTGCATAAGCGGAATAATTCTTAATGACGTTTATGAGTCTCCCTATTGTACACCTTACAGCCTCAGAAATATTTAAATCCTTGGCGAATTGGTTGCATGATAACAGGGCCTAATTGAGCTAGGCCTAGACTTGAGGATTAGCACAAACTAAGCAACCTTCTGCTAAAATACAAAAAAACATGTACAGCAGTAGGCCTACTACCTCGTTGTGACAAATCAAGAAAATAACCAGAAACAGGCCTAGGTTGAAACATGAATTAGGCAAAAATGTGATTTAGGCCTACATCTTTCTAGCTGTGCTGGCAAAATACATACCCATGATAATACAGTAGGCCCATAATAATATTATATAGGCCAATATATTATTATCAGTAACTTTGCAAAATAAATGTTGCAAATTGATGAACAAAGTGACTATTGATTGGTCTTTCTGGTGCAAAACAAGGTTCATTCTGTGGTGCAGAGTAAGAAATGGTGGAGAGCTACCAGATAGCTAGGTAGAAGATACCTCTACTCACTAGGGTTAGGGGCTAAGGACAAGGTTGCGTTATTGCATGTAATCAAATCACTCCTCCTGGCCTTGCATACTATATATGTACCACACTGTGGAGAATGAATTATGTTTACAATCGGCATTCATCATTATTAAAAACCACGCCTACCGCGAGCTCCGGAATAACACTTCCCTACTCCATCAAGAAAACAGTAGGCCTACGCAAAATTATTTGGACAATATGTTGCAAAATCACCAGTTTATATCAACTGATAGTAATGAATGCAGATAATTATGCTTGACTTACCTCTTGCGCTCATTTTACTAGTATTGATGATTTTAGCCGCATACTCTTGGCTTGTGGGAAGATGAACACATCTTTTTACCACACTGAAGGCACCTCTGAAAAATAAAAATACACCATCACAATAATTTTCCCCTATATAATATTAGCGCTATGAGCGCATTGGGCTCATCGCAAGTAAGCTCAAATTGCAGACAATGAATCTTAGATATCTAATCAAGTATTGCTTACTTTCCAATTTCTTCCTTCACCGAGAAATTAGTATTAAAAAAGTGTTCATTTTCCTCCATCTTCGCGTGATTTTCTGGACTATGCATGATGACACAGTGTATAGTGGCTAGACTACGAACAAGCTATGACACCGACTCCATTTGCCTTGTGCACTCAAGCATGAACACGACACATGCTGGACAAAAGAGGCTACACCTATATCCGCCTCCTACATCACTATTACTCTTTCTTGGACATAGATTCCTATGACGCCGATATTGGCAACAATATCAAGTATGGTTATATTAATATCTAAACACAGGGGTGATGATATCATTATGATAATGATGAACGCGATAATAACGATGGTAGAAATGAAACGAGGGGCAGGAACACAAACGGCGTGAGCCGGCTTTTTTTGCGTCACGCCGCAAAATGGTTTAAAAAGGCTTACTGAAACTTCAAGATTCAAGAAAAATTATGATAACACTCTTCCTGAGAAATATTGACAATTGAATCAATCGATACCTAGTCATTAATATAAAAAATGATCCTGAGTTATGATACTGAATACAAATTATATTTCTGGAAAGTGTTATGAAAACGCCGCACAAAAAATAAATATTATCAGAAGATGATGTTCATCTTCGGACAATATTTATTGCACGATACGTGCGGTTGTAACAATAGGCCTACATTTTGCATTCAAATTTACTTATTTATAGCTATTATCGTCCTATTACACGAGAAATGTAAACCAAACTGGCCCACACCCATTTTCAATGTCACAGCGGGACTAGAGTTGATTAGCTTATTAAGCGAATTGGGAGCTCATGCTTAAGAATTTTACTAAGTGCTAATTGAAATTGAAAAATTGTCCGTTTATCCAGTCGTCGAATTGCATCGCGCATAATCGTGCGAAATTCGATACATAAAAGTATATTTTCACTATCATTTAAAAATTCATGAGTGACCCATCCAACTGTGGATGCTAATATCAGTCACGTGGGACACGGAACATGCTGAGTTTCAATAGTGTGATAAGTCATTAACACATTGCCAGGTCTATGTCTTGATAATGCATGCCTCATTTAAACATATATATTGTTATTAGTATATTGTTATAATAATAATAATAATAATAATAATAATAATAATAATAATAATAATAATTGTTGTTATTATTATTATTATTATTATTATTACTATTATTATTACTGATATTATTATCATTATTGTTGCTATTAATATTATTATTATTATTATTATTTATTAGCCATATTATTATATTAATATTATTATTACAGTATTATTATTATTAATTAGCAGTATATCATCATCATCATCATATCATACGTATATGAAAAGGAGTGTAGGCTGCTCTTATCAGCTTTATTTTTCATTATCATCCAACTAATAATTTTTGCAAAAAGCAGTTGTTGATAAAGAAAGATATATTAATAATATTACAATTATCAATCTTTCTTTCGGAATGTATTCATTAAAAGTACATGGACCGTCGGCCCCAATGCAAAACAGCGGTATCTATTTATAACCTAATGTTTTCTTCTTCCGAAAGCAAATTAGAAATTAGAAGTATCTTACTAAATCATTTGTGTTTAAAAATAATTAATGGAATGATATGCATAAATAAATCGTAGAACGGTGGAATGTATATTGATTTTGACATGTAAAATGAAATTCGTCTTCCACAATGTTTTTCCTACATATTTACAAATTCTTTTACCTTTCTCGATATTTTCCCACCTCCCGTTACAATTTCAAGTTCTAATATTCCTAAACGTTATTTTGTCAATATTCATTCATGCCTTAAAGTCAGGCACCGGAGGATATTTCGGTAATGTTGTAGAACTGACTTTTCTAAGACACACAAAAAAGTTGTTTGATGAAAAACTCAAGAACGATTAATCAGATACAGATTTTTGAATATTTAAAACTGGGGGTGGGGGTGAAAAAAGGGTGGTTACAATAAATACTTATTTACAATTAAACGTCTGTATAGGTTTATCTTGTATTTTACAACACCATATGTTTCATATGCATTATTTTGTACAGGGCCAATATATAGGCCTATATTTTACTGTGGTACCAAAAAGCGGTTGAGGCATCAAGTACATCAATCTTTACTTTGATGTCTGTCTCCAATGCACATTGTTTTTTATGCTGCATGGAACACTATATATATATAGATTGCTGTAAATAGGTATGAAACAAATAATTGTCTGTGGACCGCCCCCTTTCGTCCATGCATGCTCGGCCTACATTATTTAAGCCCTTTGGAAATATCGATCAGTTTTCTCATTTCCTAACTGCCTTAAAATTCTTTCATAATGTAATAAGAGGCGCAGAATAAAGCAGTAGGTTACAATTGGTGGTAAATAACGTTGTTTGCACTGAACCACCATGGAGTTTGTGTGTATGGTTCGATTCCATCATAAGCAAATTTCTCAATTTTGATAAAGGCTGGTATCTTTCGAATATACAACACGTGAGACAATGAAGTTGTTTGATAATTTTTTGCTCGAATATGTTAATATGCAATTTATTCTCTTTGTGACTTACTCATTAAGGCAATTCTGTTCAATTGTTCTTCACGGTGGTGTTTAATACGATAATAATCCAATAATGCCGCCTTGATAGAGCCATTTTATCGATTAATAAGCCTACTCGATTTCTGTTCTAGGGTTGTTTTCAGAATTACATCGCTTTCCATTGTTTTCTTGATATTCATTATACCTATTTATGAAATAATTATTAATAAATTTGTCCACTCGAAATCAATAAGCACCAATACCAAATATACCAAACTTGGAATTAATTGCATTTGTTTGCCTTGCGTATTTGTGTAAGACCTTATTATTTATAGAAATAATAATAATGATGATGATATAATATTAATGTATGGACGATGCGCTTTGAATCGTGGTACAGTATAGGCTATGACTGAGAATAAAAAAAATATGTACTATCACTAAACCACGAACGCCTATGTTCGTAACATGAACGGTTGAAGTTGCGCAAATTAATGCGCATTTTTAAAACTGTTTCATCCATTATGATCCAATTAGCCTAACATTTTGGTTTATATAATGAAAGGTTATAATAAAATAAACCTAGTAGTTTATAGTTTCCATATCAAAATTCTGGTAAATTGCAAACGACTTCTAAATTGTGCTGAACATCGAGAAGATGAAATGTTGGACTTATCACGTGCCCATATTACCAAAATGTACAGCATGATCAGATAGACATGAATCTGTCCACATGCAACTTTTGAAGAGTTGAAATTTAAAAGAGATTTAAAGCCTTCCCTTACTTAGCATACATATACGTATATAAATATATATTACATGTTCAGGTCTAAATCATGAATAAATGATTTCTATGTAATTGTAGAGTGATTTAATTATCAAATCAAATGATATTGCTCTAATTAGGCCTATTACTACAAAATATATTGCAGTCATAATTGGTAGCCTCATCCCTGTGACAGAACTGAGATATTAACATTTTCCAAAATAACTGATTTTGATTGGTTAATTATATGTTGATTGATTGATTGAATAATCAATAAATAAAGAATAAAAATTTAATAAAGGAAAAAATAAGATAATGCTTCTGAAATAATAAAAATGATGTTTTCATTTACGCAATAGTTTCATATGCATGTTTAATTTACTGTAGTAGAATACATAATATGAAATCAATACATACATGTAATAATGTGAATTAACAGCATTTGTTGGGATCGAGCGTTTTATCAAACGCGTCATATAGTGCCGCGTTTATCGCGTTTGGATGGTTGGTTGACTCGTTTAATAGGATATTGATGTCATACAGCTTCCCTCAAAACCACTCTTTAAAAAAGGAAGGGCGTTTATAAAGGTCTCACGCGAAACTGTCGTCGAGGTGTATCTCCCGTGTTTGATCCAACGAGACCGTAGTTATTGACCTAGCCTACTGTTCATGTGGCAGAGGAGTCGACACTGCATTCCATGTATTATTACGATTAATGGTAATTTATATTTGATGCATTTGGTAGATACGATTCTTTTATAAGATTCAAAATGTTTGTGATGGGCCTAGCGTACTTTCACCTTACCACACAACAGAGCTCAGTTTGTCAATCGGGCCCAGGCTACTTCTGGCCCATTGCAGATGTGCTGAAAGTAGCTGGCCTAGGCATAGGGCCTAGCTAAGGATCATTGTATGATATGCAAATGTGTGTAGGCCCTAGAATCTAATTGATTGTTAGAATATCTAAATAAAAAACACCTATATTAAGCCTAGGCCTGGGCCTATATGTATTTACGGTAGGTGTAAAAGACTAAGAGGAGGATCTTAATAATTAATTAAGACTAAATTCATTTGTCTTGTGGGCAAGTGTATACATAGGCCTAGACCTAGGCTAGGCGAAGTTTGCTCATCTTTGTGACATACAGATTTGTTTGATACCTCTCCTAAGTACCCTCCTCTCCTAAGTGCCCATGACCACTTTTTGGGCTTAAACTTAGTTTTATCTGTGGTATTTTTCTGGAAAGTGACCCATGGAAGTCAAAAATATTTTCTTAACACAGCCTGAGCCTTACAAGTATGGGTGTGATTACTAAATTCTATTAACTTGAATAAAATAGTAATGATTACATATTCTATTGTATTGATTATTACTAAAGTTGAAGAAGCACAGTTATGGTTACTTGTATTGTTAACTTACACAGTATCTAATCTGGTTATTATTCATAACCGCTGACACGGGGATTATGACCGGTTGAGCCGCCGGTCATTTCTATGGAACGCCAAGCGTGTCTCTCAGTGAATGTAGTGCGTTAATTGCAGCGTATTTCAATTAACTTTTTTTCGTTCTTGGTACTGTTGTTTGGGATGTATTTCAGTTTATTTACTCAATTATTTCAATTTATTTAATACTCGGTTTTTGCACTGATTTATTAAATATTTTTGGGATGTATTTCAATTTATTTACTTGTTCTTTCTATCGTTTTAATTTAAATTTTGTGAGTA